TTTTGAGATATATGAAGATTATTCATTTGTGATGACACATTTAATATTGATTCGAGCTACGAGGTTGTTTCCAATGGTCACATCATTACCAATTATAAAATACCAATCTGATCAATCGCAAGTGAACGCAAAGTCAATTATTTATCTTTATTTATAGACAGACAGTAGACATTTTATTTTATTCCAATAGGCTTTAAAGCCCATGCGGACATAAATCATGCACAATAACGAACAGTGTATGACATAAACATATATACATAATATCAACAATCATGAAAAGAAAAAAAAGAAAAAGAAAAAGTTTGGAGAAGATCAATTTTGATTGATAAAGTCAATACCAGCCGAAAATATTCTTAAGTAGTAACATAATAAACATTTTCAAATCAAAATTGATCTTTGAACTACTAACTTATAGATCCATTATATATACATATAAGCATACATACACACATATACATGTACATACATACAAAAAACAAAATATCAATTACATGAGCCATTTATGCAAAATTTGTTGTAAATTAATTGAATTTTAATACATAAACGCATTGCCATATATTTATACTCACATCCTAAAAAAATTAAAGTCCCTTCGCATCAATTGCAGATTTAATAATTGTAACAAATCTTTATCTTTCATTTTGGATTTTTGAAAACTTCGAAAGTCCAATTTCAAAAGTGATTTGACTATTCATGTTAAGTTGCAGAGTTATAGAGGAGCGGGGAAATGACATTATATATAGACTACAAGTGTTATGCACATTTTCAATAATTCACCATTATCAACTCTACCCTACGGTAAATGAATTTGATATTGTTGCAAAATTTCCCCTGGGATATTGATATAATATTTCCAAAGTTCATTCAGTAATGTGAATAAAATATCATTTAAAAGGATTGGTTATGATACATTAAAATATTCCATGTAACATGTTATTCAAATGATTTATAATGTAGAATGCACCATATTTATACACCAGGTCCAAAATTCCAGAAACTAAGCCTAAAAAACATATGATAAAATAAAATACTTTTCAGAAGTCCGTTTTGCTTTTGTCATAATATATAAGGTATCGTTTACAATCACAAAATATGATGCATCCTGTTTCTGAGACAAAAACAAACGTAAGGGACAAATGGCCCCTTGTGGTTAAGATGCCGTCCAACACGTGGTTCGTGGGTTAGAACCCTGGTATGTTCAAGGAAATTGTCTCAAGAATGTCTCTAGAGAAAAACGAAATCCCCAAAGAACGCCAACGCGACAACATTGAAAATGTTGCAGGCACTGTTCATGGACGGTAATGGAAAGTGCAAGTTACCGTCTTCGCCCCCTAGCACCGACCTTTCACCACACTACTGAGAACAGAATCACGTGGTTTTGTCAACAATGTACAATAATGATACATCGATGATGAAGATTTTTGTGAAAATCGTAAAAAAGTTGTTAAAAACTGAAAATTACATTTTAATTTTTACTGACTGATATTATTACGTAAAAATACAACGGGAGTTTTCAATTATTGAGCCTCCATCAAACAGCAGAATAATAAATTTCCAGTGAAGAGTTTACGTAGTTAAGCAAGTCGATATTGCGATGTGAACTAATTATTTTATGACGTTGATTAAATTGCCTTCGGGAATTTGACACAGTTGTAAAACATGTTTTTAATTAAAGTCGACTTTGTTACCCAATTATCGGAACTCTTTGAAGAACAGAACATTGAGACAAGCAAACGTATTTATCTGTTAATAAAGTTTCGAGTCCGTTTACATTATAATTATCCGCCAAAGATCGTAAAAAAACATGTTTCTGATGGTGGTAAACGTTAAATGATGATATGTTACGAATAAAACGTTGTACATACACACGTTTTTAAGGCATATTTAAATGACTGTGTAACAGAAAGCGATGCAAGTGACATAGCACACATTTTTTTCAATGTCATACCGTAAAGAATTATCCATGGTTCTATGCAGAAATGCAACAACTTATTGTAATTTTCATAAATTCACATTACTAGTATAACGAGAAAAGAGAAAATGAGGTTCTAACCTGCTGAAACAGAAATGTCTTATCAGTTAGAGTCCGGAAAGTCATGTAAAAAATAGTGGAAGAGTCAATGGGTTGAAAGTCCTCCAGAGATATTTAAAGATAGGGGTTGAACATTCAAGAGATCAAAGTCTCCTACTTGTCCAATGCACCGTACTCGAACATTAACATGCAATGAAAATGTTGCCATGGAAAAGTGATGTTTATGTTTTATTGTATGCAACTGGGGAAGTAATTAGGCACATGATATCATGATGAGTACGTAAGTATTATAAAGAAAACATAATGTACAAAATTCAATGTATAGCTCATGTACTTATATAACTAAAAGTAAATTAATAATGGACTCACATTCATTTTGTAAAGATCAAGTTTACATGCCATTACTTTAAATGCTTCTACCTATCCATGTTCGTTTTAAATATATTTCAAAAGGTGCTCTTATCATTTATTTGTTTCATTGTCAGCACAAATGCTCTCAATATTGATTATAAAACTATATGGTTTTGTATTCTTCACCTGTTTGTAAGCCGACATTAATTTTAAATGGCGAGTTATTGTTCATTATTGTTTATACAGAGAAAAACGTTTTATTTTCTCCCAGAGAATATCGATTTAGAAAATGCAATCCATGAAAAGATCATTTAAATGGGTCGCGTGATGAAAATTGATGTCCTGATAATAATAATAATAATAATAATAATAAAGACTTTATTTAACGAGAGAACTCATTTGAACAAACAAATCAATCTTCCATGAGGCCCTCAACAAGGAACAATATAAATTTAACATAATCAAACTATTAAAATACATAAATGTAAAACATACAGGAGATTATCAATTTGTATACATCAATGCGTGATAAAACCTCAAGTATAAGGTTTTAAAATGGTTAACAGATGAAGCAGACTTAATATAATCAGGAAGGCCGTTCCAAATACAAGATCCAGAATAAACAAAAGACTTACAAAATTGTTCAGTATTTGGTCTAGGGGTATAAAGTTGAAAATCAGATGATGAACGCAAAATGCGAGTATGAACATCTGACGATAAAATGAAATTATTCAATAAATAGGAAGGCGCCTGATTATTCATTATTTTAAACATCATAATAGCTTTTTGAAAAACAACCCTCTGTGAAAAGGTCATCCAGCGGAGTTCAGAAAAAAGTTCAGCAGATATCAAATGACATAATTAAAATGCTGAATCGTTTCCAGAAATGATCATTGTTTTACCTGAAATACAAATATTAATATTTTTAACTATTATGAAACATATGTATCGATGTGATAAGAAAGTCAAGGTCATGCTTTTGATTTGGGACACGTTTCAGACCAAATTTGGGTCACTGAAGGTGAAACAGATGGTCATTTCAAAACATTAACATTAAAAAGTAATAAACTTGTGAACAGACTGAAAAGGGTTACAGTTAGGTTATTGCACTATTGACGGACTCCACCAACTATGGATGACCACCTCATTATAAAGTTTCTGCTTAGAAGTCATATCGCTGGAGCTTAAGTGCATTTACTCGTTGTAAAACATCGCTACACTCACTAACAGCGGCACAATTTACGTTAAACTAACTATACATACATGTTCGAAAATATTAGCCATTACATTAAATTTTTATACGATGACTATCTTTAGTATATAGCCAAATACAGTGACTATAACATGAAGTGGTAAGAAATTTAATGTTACACGGAAACATACGCAAGTGAAATAGTAATGCATGGAAACATAATTATGAAAGTGAAAAAGTAATGTACGGAAACATATGAAAGTGAAATAGAAATGTACGGAAACATATGAAAGTGTAATAGTACAAGCAAAAAAGATACTAGTAGTATTTCAGTATTTCGTGAACATCTCAATTGGCCAGAAAGACATGGTTTTATACGTGATATTTTTCTATAATGACCAACCATTATGTTTCTTATTTTACTTTGCAGTACTTGCAGTACTTAAAACACAATAATTTACCAATCAATAAACCTTGCATGCTCGATGCATTGCAAATATGAAATATTGAAGTCTAGCACGAGTGTTGCTAAGCTTTGAATTAAGTCTTAAAATAGATTAGCCGGGAGAAACAGAGTGCAGTATACAATAATTAATTGGATGATTTTGTTCAACAAAGAAAGCCAAACAAGTGGAAGAAACTATTTTAGTCCTGTTTGAAAAGTTTTTGTTTTTTTTAATTTTATTCCACGCAATTAGAAATAATTTCGTCTTAAGAGTCATGCACTATCACCGTATCTTTTGTCTATAAAATATGAGTAAAACGATATTCAACTTATGTTTTCATGACTTTTCAAAACAGTTTTGAATAAAAACTATCCCGATTCAATTCAATTAGGTTTGTAAATTTTATTATTTACTCTATTTTTTCATAACATGAAATTGTTTACACCAATTAGCGTTACACTCAATTTTACAATATAATTACAATCTGCCTTTAATAATTTAATGTTTTGTTTTATTGTATACAATTTAATGTCACTTTCGGTGTATGATAACTTTTAAATTAGCATGAATCAAATGCAGTAACACCACATCTTCGAAAGAGGGTTTTTTTCAGTGGAACAAAGGTTGTAATCTTTTCATTTTTGTTGGTAATCCATAAGAATTTAACAAATGATTTAAATTCAGATATTTCTAAAAATTTCAATTTGCAAATGACTGTCTTTTCGATTTGTATCTTTGAAAACATAGAGCGATGGCTTGACAGACAATCAGTGTGTTGGAGAGCTTAGATTTGTTCTTGAATCGATAAAGATAATATATTTTGCCTTCATTAGACCACTTCCGGGGTATTTCGATGTTGACTGGGAAAATTTGTCTTATCACAATGAAAGTTAACTTGAAGTAAACAAACAAACAAACAAAAACCCGTATTTTGTTGTACTCAACCCGTCTCTATCAATAATCAAGTAACAAACAAGCAAAATGATAGTTTTCTTTATTTGCTTTCACAGACAGGACCAATATAAATAATACATTTTGAATATATGTTGAATCATTCATGCCTCACATTCAAGAAACAAAATACTTATACAAATAAAATGATATTATAATAACAGATGGATAACATAAATAATGATAATAGAAATAAATACTTATGAAAAAAGTATTTATACATGAAGTGATTATTTTAAAATATTAACTTAACAAGACTTCAAATAGGTCACCAGTTAAAAGAAGATAATAAGAAATATGTGTCAGATATGTGTCAACATCAAATCAATTAGATCAAACTATTTTATTTTTCATAATATGAATAAAAAAAAGATAAATAAGAACAAGGTTCATGGAACGTATCCCCATATGTATTGCATGCTAAGACACGCCCTGGCTATAGACACAGACACGCCCTGGCTATAGACACAGACACGCCCTGGCTATAGACACAGACACGCCCTGGCTATCGACACGTGTCTTCATTATGACACCTTAGGTCTCCGGTGCTTTCCACGAGCCTTCATTGTGACTTCGTTCATTCTGGACATCATGTAACGACGGGGATGATATTTATAATTTGAATTTTAAAAAAAAATGAATATTCATTTCTAATAACAAGATTGTTTTATATCATAATAAAAAAAAGGAACCACGACAAATTATTAATCGTGTTAAAAGTAGGTCTTTTAGCAATTTATATGAAAAGGACATTGCTAAACTTGTTTTATGGTATGTCAATGTAAACTCTATAATAAACAATGATGAATTAATTATTCATCAGTATTTTAAAGATATATCTTTTTTAAATGCGAGCTCCGAAGAGAAAAAAGAAAATCAAAGGTATATCTATACAAACATCACATTTTAAGACAATTTTTTAAAATATCCATTTTTTAAAGTTAGTTTTGTAGATATATCTTATGACTGTCTTGGAAACACTTCACATAAAAAAACACGTGGAGTATAAATTTCTCGTCAACATTTCTTACATTAGGTAGATATCAAAAAGTGAGGTCAAGTTCTGCATTATGTATTATAACATATTAGTGTTCAGCAAGGATAAATTTTGATAGCACCTTTCAGCATTAACATATATTTATAACCTCTGCACATGCACATCCTGACAGTCACTAATAAACGCCACGAAACGGATATCCTCGTCGACAGCATTTTAAGTATTTGAAAGGTGATACAAATGTCCGGAATTTGTTATTATCCGAAACTCGGCTAATGGAGGTTGATTTTCCAAGCTAATCCCCAGTTTACCGTAATAGCCCCAGATAGGTGCACTGCCGGTCACAATACACCAGGAACAATCTATGTTGTGGTTATTTTCGAAGCGGTAACTGTAAAAACCTGTATGTCATCCCCGGATTAGCTGGGAAAACCAAACTATTTTTTAATCCGAATTATGTCTATTGATGGGTAATGTTGGGATTTCCTATTGCTCGGATAATTTATGCCATTCGGCGATTTGTTTTCTCGGACAGTTCATGACCTCATTCCAATGATGATATTCCGCACCACGTGTCCGTGTTCCTATCTCTAACCTCCCGACAACCTGAAAATGCAAGAAAAAATATCATCATCACATTATTAACAGACACAATCATAGTCAAATATATGAAATCGTAGATTATCAAGCAATTAGCTGCTGCTTTAAGAATTAAATATAAATTGTTTCTAATAATTCGTAAGTCAAATTGTTCGAATATTTATTAAAGACAACATATTAATTATATGAAGATGGAGAAAAGAAAATTGATTGTTGCCATAAGACTTAGATCTTATGCATGTAAAGAGAAAAAGAAAAAAATTACACAGTTTTAATTATGTTTTGACTACGAACTTGCGATTTAACAAAACAAAATTTCACTTAAATGATTAAAATTCAAGAACGTCCATGACATTACTGAATCAGTAAAAACAATACAGATTTAACTTGCACGTCATCACAAGGTCATAGACAACATCCAATTACTGCTAAACATGCATCCAATGTGCATACGCATTTACTTTCATCTTTATTGCCTTGTTGAAAGAACTATATACATTAAAGGATTAAGTAGAAAAAAACAACACAATATTTTGAAACATTACTGTGATATGTTTGGGGTTATTTTAAATTCAACACAGCAACACAGGGGGTGGTGGATCTTCGAAGGGAGAAATATTCCATATTCAGACCTAAAAATTTATAGCTTTATATTAGATCGTTAGGAAACTAGTCAAACATTACAATAAGTAATTTAACCTCATCATGATAATCTGTATTACAGTTCAACGTTCTATATCTTTCAATGATCAGAAGAGAAATAAAAAAATCAGTACTTTATTAGATTTAACACAGTGTCGCAATACTAATGTCTCACTTATGTGAAGGATATAAGAAAAAAAAGCACAAAGAAACATATTTCCTATTGGTGATTAGTTGACACAGACGATGAAACTTACTAATCATCATTTATTTAAGTTTTGTTTTCACTTTGCATTTAGTGTTTGTATGGGAATCATTTGAATCTGAAATTTAAGACGTATTAAAGGTTTTATTTGCTAACTTACCTCATTTTTGGTCATCCTGTCCCAGTCGAGCACTAGAAATTCGAGACTAATATTTTGGAGGCCCTCGTTATATGGCACATCAAAAAGGAACGACTCATTGAAGACAGGATTCAGTGTACGCTTTTTCACGTGTGTCTTTTTCTTGGCGATTCTCTGTCCATTATACAACAGGTAAATCTTAACATACGGATCTGTAATAATAAGATGCAAAGTCTCAATAAACTAACGACCCATGCAGTCCATTGCGAAATAGCTAGGTCCCTTATAGAGTCTTTGGCTGTGGAAGAATGCTCAAAAAACTGTTTTACATTATATCACATTCTAGTGATAATCAAAATATAGAGCTCAATAATTTCTTGTCTGAGTTTTCATGTCATTTTCTTGTTCAGGTCAATACGATCGATCAATGGCATTTCATCGTATATTTTAATTTGCATAAGTCTTTAAAAACTCTAGTAATTCATCGTTGCGGGGGAAATAGAGACATCCGTCACATGCAATATGAATCTATATCACGCGTGGAGAAAATCGATTGAAGTAAAGTTGTCAAGATAACCTTCCAAGATTTTATTTGATAAAAATGTAAGAATGTATATTTAGGCTGAGTAATGTTTATGAGATAACTTGATAAATGTAAGAATGTGTATATGAGATGACTTGATAAATGTAAGAATGTATATATAGGCTGTTTAATGTTTATATAGGCTGTTTAATGTTTATGAGATGACTTGATAAATGTAAGAATGTATATATAGGCTGTGTAATGTTTATGAGATGACTTGATAAATGTAAGAATGTATATATAGGCTGTGTAATGTATATATGAGATGACTTGATAAATGTAAGAATGTATATATAGGCTGTTTAATGTTTATGAGATGACTTGATAAATGTAAGAATGTATATATAGGCTGTTTAATGTTTATGAGATGACTTGATAAATGTAAGAATGTATATATAGGCTGTTTATGTTATAGATATGTAAGAATGTATATATAGGCTGTGTAATGTTTATAAGATGACTTGATAAATGTAAGAATGTATATATAGGCTGTGTAATGTTTATAAGGATGACTTGATAAATGTAAGAATGTATATATAGGCTGTGTAATGTTTATGAGATGACTTGATAAATGTAAGAATGTATATAGTGTGTAATGTTTATGAGATGAGGCTGTTTAATGTTTATGAGATGACTTGATAAATGTAAGAATGTATATATAGGCTGTTTAATGTTTATATAGGCTGTTTAATGTTTATGAGATGACTTGATAAATGTAAGAATGTATATATAGGCTGTTTAATGTTTATGAGATGACTTGATAAATGTAAGAATGTATATATAGGCTGTTTAATGTTTATGAGATGACTTGATAAATGTAAGAATGTTATATATAGGCTGTTTAATGTTTATGAGATGACTTGATAAATGTAAGAATGTATATATAGGCTGTTTAATGTTTATGAGATGACTTGATAAATGTAAGAATGTATATATAGGCTGTGTAATGTTTATAAGATGACTTGATAAATGTAAGAATGTACATATAGGCTGTTTAATGTTTATGGGATGACTTGATAAATGTAAGAATGTATATATAGGCTGTGTAATGTTTATGAGATGACTTGATAAATGTAAGAATGTATATATAGGCTGTGTAATGTTTATAAGATGACTTGATAAATGTAAGAATGTATATATAGGCTGTGTAATGTTTATAAGATGACTTGATCAATGTAAGAATGTATATATAGGCTGTTTAATGTTTATATAGGCTGTTTAATGTTTATGAGATGACTTGATAAATGTAAGAATGTATATATAGGCTGTGTAATGTTTATGAGATGACTTGATAAATGTAAGAATGTATATATAGGCTGTGTAATGTTTATGAGATGACTTGATAAATGTAAGAATGTATATATAGGCTGTGTAATGTTTATAAGATGACTTGATAAATGTAAGAATGTATATATAGGCTGTTTAATGTTTATATAGGCTGTTTAATGTTTATGAGATGACTTGATAAATGTAAGAATGTATATATAGGCTGTGTAATGTTTATGAGATGACTTGATAAATGTAAGAATGTATATATAGGCTGTGTAATGTTTATGAGATGACTTGATAAATGTAAGAATGTATATATAGGCTGTTTAATGTTTATGAGATGACTTGATAAATGTAAGAATGTATATATAGGCTGTTTAATGTTTATATAGGCTGTGTAATGTTTATGAGATGACTTGATAAATGTAAGAATGTATATATAGGCTGTTTAATGTTTATGAGATGACTTGATAAATGTAAGAATGTATATAATTATATGCTGTGTAATGTTTATATAGGCTGTTTAATGTTTATAAGAGGACTTGATAAATGTAAGAATGTATATATAGGCTGTGTAATGTTTATAAGAGGACTTGATAAATGTAAGAATGTATATATAGGCTGTGTAATGTTTATGAGATGACTTGATAAATGTAAGAATGTATATATAGGCTGTGTAATGTTTATGAGATGACTTGATAAATGTAAGAATGTATATATAGGCTGTGTAATGTTTATGAGATGACTTGATAAATGTAAGAATGTATATATAGGCTGTGTAATGTTTATGAGATGACTTGATAAATGTAAGAATGTATATATAGGCTGTGTAATGTTTATAAGATGACTTGATAAATGTAAGAATGTATATATAGGCTGTGTAATGTTTATAAGATGACTTGATAAATGTAAGAATGTATATATAGGCTGTGTAATGTTTATAAGATGACTTGAGAAAACATAGTCTCTAATATTGCTCAAAAGATAAAGACACGTTCAATGTCTCCACTGTTCAACATGAAAGTTTCCAGACGGACATTATAACCGTCTTGGGAGATAATGTTCTTGTGTTATTGATTTTCATTCAAGATGTAGATCTACATTTCTTCTAATGCTTGTTTTTAGAATATTTGTATAAAATTATCAACAAGCTGCTCCAAACGGAATTATACTAATGGACCTACAACAACAACCCCTTTTTAGATGCATCGGTTTGCTTCCGTATATACATATGTTAATAAAGTCATTATATTACAGAGCTGTTGGCGAAACAACAATAATATTATGGTAAAATACATCATAAAATGCTACAACATACAACTATTTTATTCCAATTAAGTCTAGTTCCATAAAAGAAGGAAAATAGTGTTTGTAGTTAGACCATTATCTAATCAGATATTAAAAATGCAATGACAATTTTCCTTTATTTGATAAACATGCCATATATCGATATACATGTATAATATATTTATTATGTACATGAAATAATGTATAATAAATAGATAAGAATGTTCCCGAATATATTGCTGACTGCATGTTTAAAGTCATATGAACATTGTGGAAAATATTCAATCATTTCCAAATCCAATCCTTGCGTGCGTGCGGAAGAATATTTTTCTATCGGTGTTCAAATGAATATGACAAAAATAGTACACAATAAAATTCTCGGAATAAACCAAGCCCTGTCTTTGTGCTAATTCATACTTTTAAGGTTCCTTTTAAATTGCACGTAGAGATTCCAATCAAGCCAGTAATGGAATTTGATAGGAAGATCTCTATCACGGACAGCCTGGTAATTACTCTCTTAGAACATACACTTGGTGCTCGTTTGTCATCTAGACATGATGCTAGTTGCTTTGGACAAAAAAATCGATTGGCTTTTGTGGGCGTATGATATATTACAGCTTTATTTCTAAGAACAAAGTCTGAATCTTGTTAAATCGGTAGAGATAAGATTTTTGCTGAAGTTGATAATGTGATAATGAAATGTTTATTGATTATTATATTGAAAATAATAATATATAATTTATATTTTATTTGATAAAAAAAGCAACGTATTCGTTTGGTCAGAAGCTTATTTTACCTCATTTTTTGCGAACATCAGATGGCAACGGTGATAATGTTGATTAATTATATAAAGTTCAATGGAAAATAATATCCCTTTAGTGTATAAAATTGATATTGATCCATACAAAGCAATTATAGTTCTAATTATTTTTTTGTTTAATGCAAGTCATCTTTCTTTTATGAGGTTAACTCATGTGTATTAATCAAACAACTTGATGCATGAAACTTCAAGAAATTATAAATTACATCATAAAATGTTTTGAATCAAAACTATTGAAATAGAATATAATAGTATTTGCTTCATCATTTAGGGGAAAAAGTTCTAAAAATACAAAGACATTAATAAAATGTCGAATGAAAGTTTTTCCTTTTTTGCTAAACATTAAATGGATATACGGGTATAAATATATTTATAACTATGGAATATTTTTAATAATAGACAAAGAAGGCCCAAAAAGCGTGCATTTTAAAACATATGCACTTGCCGTTTCAATCATTTCTCCCTTGGGGGTAAGTTATTTTCTATTGCAATGGCCTTTTATGTTAAAAAATCTGAATAAATTTAAAACAATTTTTTGAATTTTTTTGGAAAACTAGATCCTAAATAAAAGCAAAATGGATTATAGAAGATTTAATCCGAACACCAATATCTCTTAACTCATGGTCGTGTAAGCTGATCTAGCGTTTAAAATGTTGGGTTTGTGAGCGTACATGTAGAAACAGCACGTTTCTAAAACAAAAGTCAATTCCTTTTAAATTCGTAAAAGAGTTTAAGTTTTACAATTTATTTGTAATTTTAATATTTTGTATTTTTTTGAAAATAATAAATGAAATAAATAAAAAACAAAGTATTCGTTTTCAAATTCTTATTTTCTCAAATTTTTTGCAAACTCAGATGGCAACGTTTTTTTTTAATCCCACTATAACGGTCAATGAAAAGTTATCTCACTCTTAGGGTAAAAATTAATTGATCCAACAAACATATAGTCAACGTTATAATAAAGTAATTTTTCTTCTATTAGTAAATGTGTAAATAAACAATCTTCGATGCATAAATTGTTATAAATAATGCACATTTTGATCAAAACTTTTAAAATAATAATGGGTATCGCCTTTCTTTTGGATTAAATTTACAAAGCATTAAAGTCCAAAACGTGAATTATTTAAAACCCAATGCTAAATCAAATTGGGAACATGCTATTACCTAAGTATATTTACCTGAGAGACCTGTGAGGTCCATTTTCGGCAGATTTCTAGCTTTCAGAACAACCACTGTCAGTCTGTTGGCAGCTGGCTGGTAACAGAGAGAAACTAACAGTTCTCCACACCCTTGTACCCGAAACTGAAAACACAAATCTAATTTGTAATTACGATATGTATATTTATAGAAGTAATAACAGATGCGGCGGTAACGGAAAACGTCATAAGAAGTAACACCATTACAATTATTGTTCATGTATAGGAACGTCAAAATTCTACAATTAAGGTATATCTAATTACCAAGTTATAAAATGTAAATATATGTTAACAGATAATTAGTGTAAACTTCAAACGAGTATTGTCATTAAGGTTTACACTAATTATCTGTTAGCATGTTTGTATTTATTCTACTTATAGGAAATATCCATTTCCCAGAAAACAAGAGATTAAATGAATTGCAGAAGCTTTACTATTTTTAGAGTTTTAATATTAATATATACGTACGTACAAATCAAATTTAACATTGTTGTTAAACATCATACATGAATTGTTAAATAAGTAATTACTAAACGAAAACAGTTAAAACTAATTTTGTGTTTAGTTATTTCCTGTGTTTAAACAAGTTTAGACTGTTTATCATTTACCACACAAACGGGGACTATCTTTTATAGAAAGATGTGTTTTAATATACCTCATAATCTAAAATTGCCAGAAATGAATTTACCTTTATAAACTTTAAAAGGAGATGTTAAAGTTACTTGTCGTCAATATAAGCAGAATGAAAAATGTGTATAAAAAGAATAAATGTCAACATTACAGCATGATAATAGATACATTTTGAGCAAAAATATTCTGGACACCGTGCTCGAATTGTCTGCCCTTGAATTAGAAAACTTATGTATAAGTTAGCTGCCCTTGAGATATTCTGAAATAGCAAAAAAATCATGTTCAAAAGAAGACAACTCAGAACTCCCGTTTGTGTCTTCTTTTTTTCGACGGGGGGGGGGGAGGGGGGGGGGGGGGGCGGAGTGCTGTGTGGTCCGCTTTATATTCTTAGATCATGTAAAGCTGAACTATTTTTTATTCTGGCTTATTGCATATGTTTAGCAATAGCATACGCTTTTAAACATTGCGATGTTATTTTTTTCAATCCAAGGTTCAGTAAAATAATAATATTTTTCATTTGTTTTGTTGTTTTTTTTGTAAATCATTTGATGTTCTTTCCTTTGATGGTGTTTTTCGACAAAGCAGTTTTTAATGATGCAATATTGGTAAAAACACTTTAAACTTTATTTCAAATTCACTAAATATTGATGATTTCATCAACATGCATTAAATATATTTAATCAAACCAAGCCTTTCTCGATTTCTTTCGTTGCACTTGATGCCTACTTCAGAACAATCGATGATTTTACTTGATTTTTAAGTAATGCACTGACTACGTACTTAACGAACCTGCCTGGTATTTTACTTTAACTATGTCAATAATCAATTAAACTAAACTTAAAGAATAGCGTTTCCGCGTTTCCCTTCATCTCTAATATGGCTCATTACCACCGTGTCGTATTTTCACCACAACACAACTTTCGCATTTTCAGACAGTTATGAAAAAAAAGACAAAAAAACTTTTTCGTTGTTTTCTTTCTTCGCATTGTTGCATTTTCGCTTTTTCGCATTGCTGCATTTTTGCTTCGTTGCATGTCGCATTTTTTGGTTGTACAAGGCATGCGCGCATCAATAGTAATGGAGTGGGAGCTGACAGAATTGTGATGCCATAATTATAATTGTAAATAAAATGTTTATATCATTCAACGCATTATAGTTCCAGTAATTAGTCAGCTTCTTTGTTAAATGTGACATAATTATTCCAGCCTGTGGAAAACAAGCAAACATACAGGGATGCGAAAATGCAGCATTGCAAAATTGCAAAAATAAATAAATAAATAAAATAAAAAAATTAAATAAATGTTAAAATGCGGTGAAAACATGGTACATTTATGTGTCGTATTTTTTGCCTAATTTTGTCATCCTTTAATTTTTCATCGAATGTTTTTTTTTTCGGTCTACTAAATTCTTTTTTAAGGTTATTGAAATAAACAAAGTAATCGGAACAAAATATATATATATACCGAAAAAGATTACTGAGTTAAGATTTACCTTTAAATGCCTTGGCGTGATCTCTTTGCAAAGTGTAAGTCTTTGTTTACACACCTCTTCAACCTCTAACGGGTATAAGACCTCTCCCATGATGGCATCCCTTGAGAAACGGTCAAAGCTGAGGATCACAAAGTGCAAAGTTATGCCCTGTAACTGATTATTTGCAATCCCATAGAACGTAAATGTTTCATCATAGACAGGATTTAAAGTTTTTCGTAAAACACGAGTTTTACATTTATGTCGCTTTTCGGGTAAAAGTTGGAGTTTAACATATGGGTCACAGCCACCGGTGCTTGGGTCACGTGGTGGTAGATCAGTAAGACTCATGATATTAACAAGAAGTGCAGACCTTTCTTCATCATATTCAGCTGAAAAGTTCAGTGCACCAAGATATTTTGGTTCATGTTTGTCTTTGATATCAGATTCAATCATCCTTTTCTCTTCCTCTTTCTCAGGAGTTTCTCCTCCTTTTTCGTATTCAATACGATGATGAGTTTCTGTTTTGCCACTGATGTGACGTGGGGAATCCATGTTGTCCGGAAGCATTGTAAAGCTGCCAGGTGATAGTTTTTCTCCAGGTCCAGACGGATGTTCTGGTGGAGTTATTGGACTTGTTGACTTAGAAGCTTTAAGTGAAGATGAACTTCGGGAGTTACGCTTTCCAGACGAGCTTTCTTTCAGGCCTTTCTTTATCGCAGACGACAATCGGTTCTGTGCATTGCGCATAACCCGACGTCTGTAACATTTGTAGGCAACAGCCGTAACAAGAAGAAGCGTAATCATGGCAGCCGCACATATTGCAATAATTGAAACTGCGCTCCCTGAAAACAAGTAAGAAACAAAGATCCTTAATGCTACGTCGTCATTTCGTAGGAAAGATTATAAGTCCTAAGCTTGTAATTATTCCAATAAATTGCCAATTGTTTTATGGAGGCTTGATATTATTTTAGTAAATTTATAGTTTTATGATATTTAAGATACATACATACAAACATACACAAAATCTCTATAAATTATAAACAAACACTGGGATAGATCTGGTGTTGAAATGAATACATGTGACAATAACTCAAATAATACATAACATCGTGATTTTAGCATTTTTTGTCACATAGTTTTCTGTAGCACTTTATAACATAGTTTTTTGGCAGTACATGTACTTAAATGGATAAAATTCTTGTGATTTAGTACAAACGTTGTTGTTGTTTTTCTTCTTGCAATTGTAATTTTTCTCGCACTTGCTTATGGACAGTTTGTATAGCATATATAAATAATAAAATAAATACATATATAAAATGGTAAGTTTTTGCTTTCAACTACTTGTTTATAGGCACAATACTAGGAAAAGCATCAAATATTCAATGCTAATATTTCAGCAAGCTTTAAGCGATATTGAAGTACCTGGTTCTGCTGGTTTTACAGAAATACAATAGAGAAACTCGAGACAATTTGTCTCTAGGGGAAATTTTAACAATGCCATCCATAAATAGAGCATTGACGTAGAGATTTGAAACAAATTATATTCCATTATAAAATAGAATCCGATTTAAAGGTTGAACTTGAATTTTAAATTTAATAATTCTCTTCTCCTATCTATAAATTACGTGCCTTTACTTTCACAAAAGAAGGAAAATTATACCAACAAGCATTTGTTTTTCATCATAATGTTAAAGCCGGTCATAGACGCGTGAATATATTCGAGAAAACCTAGTCTTATTTGATTGTGTTGTTTCATTTTTAAAGTGTTTCCAAATTTCAGAATTTTAACGCATTATTTGTCTTTGGTTTGTCTTTTACTCCACTGTGAATAGAATTTAATGTTTAAATTGATTATTCAAATTATAAGTATTCTTCTCTTGTTTACCTGGTACCTTGTTTATCTTGGTATTTACGTTTAAAACATCAAATTTTCTTTCACAAGTCTAAACAAAAATGTCTTGAATTTGCCCTTTACAATCAATATTCACATACAGGATTGTTGCGTCCTTGAATATTTGCGGAATTTAACAAGACAACATCGAGACAATGTCATCCAATTTGATATAATTTTGTAATTTTGTCTGGTGTTTTCTTTCAGAAAGACAACATTACAAGGTCTCTCATCTAAGAGCTTACTTTAATAGAATTGTTACAGAAATTATTATATTTTTAACTTTAATGGTGTAATATTCTAAATAATATTTTAAATAACTGTGGAATGAACATTTAGTCATGTAGGCTCAGTCAATGTGGAATGAACATTTAGTCATGTAGGCTCAGTCAATGTGGAATGAACATTTAGTCATGTAGGCTCAGTCAATAAGTTATTTTGTTATTCTGATTAAATGGTGTTTTGACATTTAATATGAAACAGTATTTCACAATACGATGGGATGATGTTGATGTCCTGAAATGTCATATGAAAGGGGTAAGGGGGTAATGGTTAGGGAGACAACACAATGCCCATTTTTATTCAATTCAAACAAAGATGACCCGGATTTTACGCAACATTGTTTCTTTATCATATGTCATTTGTTTTCAGATGTTGAAGATTTTTATTTTAGTAAATAGAGATAAATTTAAAGAGAAAACACTATTGTGTTACACTGTACTTTATTTAATCTTTTAACTTTATTATGAGAAACGCTGAGGCGCCTCTCAACTCAATGTGCAGAATAAACTGAAAAGACCATTCTTGACAAAACTAGTTTCAGCACAAGTGATATCAAAATAAACAATATATTATGTATAAGCTAAACTATAGAGCCCGTGTTTTATCAGATCTAAGAGTAATTGTGTTTTTACATATAAAGAATACCATTATAAAACTAACGACAAAAAGCCCATATATTGAAATTGGGACAAATTCAAGGCAATTTCGTTTTTAATTTTCTTGGAACAAATAATATGCCTTCTTGATTTATTTATTAATCTTGGATATTGTTCTATAACACGAGATAAAACTTATATTCTGATGACTCCAGAGACCTGCACTATATCAATAAAGAAAATTACAATTTGCAATAATACCAGAAGACAATACTTTTTCAGAAGTACCAATACGATATAAGAATACAGTTCTTGAGCAAAATCCTTGCGTTATATAAAAGTAAAATCGAGAAATAGAACAAATACGAAATTAATTACAAAATTTCTGGAAAAAAAATATTCCCCGGAAGCATTAAATCAGCAAAACTACATGCAAATTGCAGACTCGGTTTGATTGAGTCTGTAGATAAGGGGTAATGAAATAGTGAAATAGCTCTCACGCCCCCTAGCACCGGCACATCGGTACTCAATGTTCAACACTAAATAGTGCTGGAATTGTTTTAGTGTTTTGTACATCAAATGACAATTGAAACGTTATAAACGCTTTAAACTGTAAATCATGATCAGAAAACACAAAGTTCTTTTTTTAATCGTTTTTCGACATTAAAAACACCTCGTTTCTTTAATTCTTGAAACGTCAATTGCACATTCCTACATGAAGGAATCGATTACTTGGAAAAAACGTATAACAACAATATTGAATAATTCATTATTGTCTGAATTGAGATAGTTTGTTCTTGTTTGTACATGCACTGCTGTACTTCTAAAATATATATAAACAGAGAGCAAATCAATATTATTGAAGCTTTGAATGGTGTCAACTGATACATTTTAGAATCTAACCAAAGAAACTGATGAATTAATATGTAGAATAATAAAGTAGAAAAAAGTTGTTTGATCACACAGATGGAAGTATAAAGTTAAACTTCACAATTCCTATGAACCGGCATAATTGTAACGAATTCTAATTGGCTCGTGTTAAGTACAAGTAAACATTCTGATTTAAATATATTAGAAATAAAGTCAGTTCACAAAAGAAATAATACCGTACCAACTTCTGTTCATCCAGAACTTGTTTAAACAAGACTGTTTATACAATTTTTCCATATATTGCTATCTAAAATATGTTTTGCTGATAACAAGGTTTGCGTCATTGTTCTGATTTTGTCAAAACAGAGAAAATCAATATATAAACGCAAAAAAGTTAGATAGGGCATCAATTATTATTTTCAACAAAAAAGGCGGTGTACCAGAGTGTGGTTATCGCGTCGGACAAGTTATGTAAGGATTGGTTTGCTAGTATTCCAAGGATTGCTGGCCACGGGGGTCCAAACTGCAAGTCGTTGTTTCCATTATCAAGACATTTTACGCTCATTGCTCAGTACCGGTTTTCTTTTAGGTATACGTACGGGTTTGATAATGTGTCTATTAGCTTAAATTAATTAGTATATTTGACAGAATGATAATAAATGTCAAACAAACCAGCACTTTACAAATCTAAACTTATCAGCTGAAATGAATGTGGTATCAAATTGAAATAAAAAAGTATTGGACGCTTAAAATTTGCTTCACCAATGTTTATTACTGTTTCTTTATCTTTTTCAATTAAACGAATTCGACAAAAGGCAATAGTTATGAATTTTCTATTGGGGAAAACACATACAACATATCAATATTTGATTTTATTCAGTTAAACGATTGTTTATATATTTAAAGATTTAAAAATACATTAAGCGGAATTAAACTGCTTAAAACCGCTTTTTCTGAAGTCTGAAACTTTGATCTTGAGATATTAATTGAATTTACAGTAATTTATGAATGACGTACTCTGTTTTTACATTCGGCATTGATTTTGGAATCAGTTTAACGGCTTTTACGGCTCTTTGATATTTGTCCTTCTTTAATGTATTGTTTACTGTTGAATTAAACTATTTAACTTTATTCAAATAAGCCGTCACTTTAAAAGTATTTTTCTTGAATTAATTCCTGTTGTATAAAAAAGTTAAGCGACATAGGTTATAATTAAACTTAAAAATGTACCTTTGTTTACAAATATGAAGACATTATTGAAAATGTTCTGATTATTTTACACCGTTATGTATTTGCTTCAGTATTATACTATTTGAACGTAATTATTCGCACCTCTACATATATTTATATTCATTTCAACACCATATTTATAAGTGGTATTCACGAACTTGTTTATTATACTAATATAAGTACTATTAATTATTAAGTTCTGTGAAAATTGTTACTTACAATGAGTAGCTTGAGCATGTAATGGTAGCTGTTCCACTGATAGGTGCGATTTTTCTACCATATTTTTGCCGTCTGTGTATGATATATAGTTCCTATTCTTGTCTATTAATTATTTTAGTCACTAGTGAATTTTCCGCTACCAAATCACATTTCCATATCAAATTCACAAAATAAAACACATTTAAAGCTTTTAGGTGTAAGTATGTTGTCTAAACTCTAATTCTGTGAACCAAATATGGTTAATTTTACGTCACGATGCTTTTATCAATTTATGTTCAATAGATTCCGCTAGCCTTTCCTGCGATTCCAATACATCTGTTGCTTTTCTGCCAGCGTCTATCGATCGTGATTCAAGTAGAACAAGCGCCCAGGAGATTTCGATTCTGATTGACGATATGAGGGTTAATCGATAGTTGTTCCTTGGAAAGTCAAAGCCGCCATGATTGTGTCCAGATTCCAAAGTTCAAGGGAGAATTGAACACTATTATTTTATGTCGTGACTGGTTGATGTAAATTTGAATCTAATAGGAAGCTACATTGAAATACTCGAGACAAATGGGCCGGTTTAGAACCTTGCTAAGAACATACTTATTTAAATAGCTTGTTTAAAGGTCTTTTAGCTCATAAATGAAAGAAAATAAAGTATAAATTTCCCTACGATCTACTTAGGTGACAGCAATATAAAGAGCAATGTTAGCATGTTTTTACAAACAAGATAATTAGACGTGAAGAAATGCCAGTTTAATGCATACACATTGTTATTTACTAAATATATTTCACAGTCGTGGGTAGATATGATAAATTGAAATTTTACTGTATAGAAATATGGTCTCATTTATAGATACGGCAGTTATAGTTTATTATGCAAATCATCCATGAGCCCGTTGCATCCGTTTGTGGGAATATAAATTAATCTATCCTTTTTTAGCTATCCTTTTTATCACTAAACCTGCTGAGTCTGTGATATAAATTTGCCCTGACTTGAATTTGGAAAAGATCGGTGCAAAGTTCAAGGATGTCAATATTAAAATATAACTACTGATCAACAAACAGTATATAGCCTGAATAGACTGTTAGGAAATCTAGGCTTGCCTGGCTCTATACTTGTGACAAAGTGGATATACAGGCTGGCCTGGCTCTATACTTGAGGCAATATACAATAACTTTCATCATATTAAGGGTTATATACAATCAATCGACTAATGAAAATTTGATATATTATTATAGTCTGAAGGTGGGCGAATTCCTTAATACAAAGCAAGGATAACTTCACTTATTTTTACAGAAGAAACTTATATAGCGGCATAACTTTCCTTATTTGCTTAAATCTGTATATTAATATAAATGGCCTACTCTGTGAAGATAACTGGATTTACTTTAGCATAAGGATGGTGTATTATTATTTATTAAAATATATTTCGATTCCCACAGTTTTAGTAATTATTTTACTCGATTTAACATATGACATTTGTAAGGTGGCTGATTTACGCCATGTCGTTTTTTCGCTTCTTCGCCTCAAAATGCGAAAACACGAAGGGACGGCAAAGTTGAACTTTGTCGTCTCTTCCTGTTTCGCATTTTCTAGGCAACAAAGCGTAAATACGACAGAAGGAGGGCGAAAATACGACACAAAAAATCTGTCGTATTTTCGCTTTTTTCGCATTCAAAATACAAAAATGTGAAAACACAAAGAGACAACAAAGTATTTTCGCTTTTTCGCATAATTACATTATCGTATTGTTGCATTTTCGCGTTTTCGCATTGTTACATTTTTGCATTGTTACATTTTCGCATTGTTGCATTTTCGCATTGTTACATTTTCGGATTATTGTTAAATTTCGCATTTTCGCGTTCCAGTTGTACATGCGCACGGAGACATCAATTTATTATTATTATCATTATTATTATATTAAGTTTTGTAAATGTCTGATCACAATGATATATTATCTTATAGTCCTATAGAACATATGTTGTATCCACGTAGATGTATAATTTAAAAAGATCACACCGCTCCTTACACGTGTAAAATAATTAAATAATATGACGGTAAGGCTTTCAGACTGTTTTGAATCAATTAATGCAACAATTATTATGATAGATACATTAATATGTTCCTACCATCTTTAGATTATCAGTTTATTTTGCTGACGGGCATAACGATAAAGGCAGTGTCCGCACACTATAAACTTTATCGCATTTTCGAGACAACAAAGCGAAATTACGACATGGCGTAAATCAGCCACCATACATTTGTTTTAAAGGAGAGATGAAAACAAATACAAAATTCAGGTATCCCTAAAGACTTAAAATATCCTTTTTGACGTATATAAGATTTTTTTTTATTTCAGGCTTGAAGTCAATATCTCTTTGAAAGTACAATAATATACTAACCAAATTAAAGTGCTAGTGTTGATAGCAAAACTGACTTCACAAGGCTATCAACTTAAAGTCGTTTCAGCCATCACTGAATCAGCTGCTTTGGGTGTTTCATCTAACAAACGAAACCATTTCATAATTAAAGACTTTGATTGAACATTTTTTTTACAAAAAATACCTATAAGTTTTTATTCAATAATTGTTTTCTTCTGCTTTGCCCGCAAAGAAGATTCGTTGTGATTGCAAAAGTAATGGTTGCGTAGCAACCAGCGGATACGATCCACGCTGTGGCATGCTTTTATTATAACTTATTCTAATCCAATAAACGTGCGACAGTTATAAAATCTTTTACATTGTTAGTTTCTGTGATAATAACATATTAAAAACTAAAATCCATCGGTCGTGATTATTGGCAAGGTCACATATAATGCAAATCTCTGAAGTATAGAAGATAAAATATCAATCAAAAAGCCATGCGTTTGTTTTCTTGTATAAAATACATGTCTAATACTGCATATACTGGTGCCGGCAATGTATCTGGTAAAATTTAAGGTTGATTTAACACTATAAATGGAAGATTGTTCTGCTTTCAGGATATTATATATTTTTATATTTATATTCTCATTTACAAACGTGCCTTTTAAGAAAGTGGCATACTTCACATTTTAGATGCTAATAACTTTTTTTCAATGTGTTTAGGAATTAAATTCCCTCATTTTCAAGAAGCAAGAATTATTTGGAAGGCGATGAATCTTCTTTATTTTGAAGCCTTTATTTTGCATATCTCTAAGGACAAAAATAGTCATGCATACACGTAACAATATAATTTGCCACCATATAAATCACAACAAATTGCATAACCAAGTGATAAATTTCATTAAAAATATTTGTGTGCGTTTCATAAGATAAAAAAATCACTTCAAACATTTTTTTTGCAAACCAAAATCAACAATTTGTTTAACTTCTATGGATAACGGTATTTTGATACTTCTTCTAATGCAAATGAGCGCATGGCTAAAAAGTAGCTTTCATTATAAAGAAAGCGAAACATATACGGTCGACGGTCGTCATCAGATCAACATAAAAGAAATAAGTAGATCTGAACTTTAGTCAGATTTAAATACGAGGCTAATTCAAAATTTGAAGTATCTGTTTTGTTGCATTTGTCATTTCAGTGTAAGAAATAAATTTAGTAAGTTCATAGTTTTTGCCTTCTTTTTCTGTAGACATGGCCCTCCTTGTTTGTAATTATTTAATGCAAGTGTATCGGGAACTTAACTAATATTCGGTATTATATTATTTTATTTTCCCGTTTAATGAATAAAGAATCATCATTTCAGAGTTATTTCTCTTCCGGTGCCATATTGCATTGGGATATATGAAATGTTAGTCTATATATAGATAAGATTCTTAAGGAATTAAAAAGTATTTATCTTTTCTTGGGTACTTTTTTATTGTGTTTTTTTTTTTGTTTGACGCATACTTATATATTATATATCCAACCTCCCAAAATAGACACGCTTGTGTAAGAGGAAAACTGATTGTTTTTCCGGATGAGGTAATTTCAAGTTTTGTTGTTTAATTAGATATTTATTAAAATGTCATAGGGAAATAGCCATCACTTGTATCCGTAGTATTATTATCCGTTTGATCAATAATTCAGTATTTTGCTCGGCTGTTTATGAACATGATCAATCAACCACTATTATTTATTGATATGTTTATTGGAATTCTAACAAGTTCAATAAACTAATATGAACGCCCTTGAATGAAATTGTGAAGAGAAACATTCAGAATAACAATCATTAACATTGGGCATTGAATGTTTTTGTGTTATTTTATGTTCTTTCCACCTGATCAATGACATGAAAATTCTAAAATTAATTTTAAATTGGTTTGTTGGCAAACTGATCACTTTTCTATATTTTTTATATCATATCTATTGATCATATAGCTAAATAATACGATGATGACAGATGTATTAGAGTCAATGCTGACCATTAACTTTATTATCTACCAATATGTATAGTACAATGTAGTTGGAACAGCTTCTAATTTTTCTTAACATGTTATTTTATTACATCTTGAAGTTTGAAAAAAAAACATTGATGGTATCGACATGTATATAGGAATGTTTATCATACGGATCAGATTGCCTTTAGTACTATAACATTAATAGATTGTCCTTCGTGTTGCTTACCAAAGGCATGTAATGACTCGCCAGCTATATGATAACTTGTGTCGTACTAAAATATGTACAAGTAAAATGGTTTCCTGCGGTGAACATTTTAATGATATAAAGATATTTCATTTAAACTATTTTCAACATTATTATTATTTTTTTTTTTTTTTTTTTTTTTGGGGGGGGGGGGGGGGGATAAATAAACGTTTGTATCAAGAATATAGTTGACAATTGAATTAGAAGAAGCTAGGTCTTTGGAAACTGGTGACCGTTGAAGACCGGAGAAGGTCGAACATAAAACAATTAATTCTTTTTTAGAAAATGATTAAATAGGCCTACCATTTTATGAATAATTCCGAGCAAAAAAAAAAATAAAGTAAACACACAAGTTTACGCAGAAAATATCTCTATTTATTATGGCAGATGCCACTACGAATATTTTAACTTTGTAGATTTTCAGTTTAAACAATTTATTGTTTGTAAAATTTGAGATAGATATTAAAGAAACATTGATAATTTTCAAACACATCATTCAAGTTTTTCCACCTAAAACGGTAAAATAATTATAGAAAATTAGAAAAATCACGTAATAGTTTTTTGTTCTTAATTAGAGGTAATTCGGACTAATTCCCTACAGGTAAATCCGTAACGTACCGGCAAACGGTATTTAGCTATGATTTCGAAAAGGTCAATTAACCAATCATGTACGGTTTACAGATCACATGCTCCTCCATGTACCGAAAACAGGTCACGTGCTCCTCCATGCCTCAAAAGTTAAACGCGTACAAAAAC